TTGAATAATTTGCCCTCCTACTTTGAAGTCACCGAGCCCATCCAGAGCTTCCTTGGTAAGGCATTCGCTGTACAAGTTGAACAGAATTGGTGATAAACAGCATCCTTGTCGAACTCCTCTTCCAATCTGCACACTTCCTGTCTCCCCCGTGTCCAGTCGTACTCTAACTTTCTGATCCATGTACAATTAAGATATATATATATTTTTTTTATTTTGGATACCTTTCATCTGGACACCATGTACAATGCTTTATGGTAATGTTTAATTGAAAAGGGATCTAATATCAAAGGGAACAGAAATAGTACATTTTGCTGCATTGTGCAAGGGTATGTGGGTTTGTAAATTGTGATCATGGTGAAGGAATTGGTGTAGTAGAGAAAAGTCTCATTCTTGTATTGGCTCTAAATTTTTTTTCAAATAGCTTGTCTGATAGAGGAAAAGTTTGTTCTTGCAATATGTCTAATGTTTTCAGGTGACTGGTTAACTTTATGAAAGCAAGTGTTTTATTTAATTTGTTTCTAAGAGGTAATACATAATTCACAAACAATTCCCTGAGCAGGCTTTAAAGGCCATCCCATAACTCAAGTGGTTAGCTCCTGGACTACCTCCATTGCAACTCATATTCAGTCCCATATTGGGTCCTGTGAGATACATAATGGGCAAAGTGGCACTTGGGCAGGTGTTCCCTGAGGGCTTCAGTTTCTGCCATCAATCATCATTGCACCAACTGCCCTCCATTCATTAATCATTCAGTCATCTGTGCTTTCTACTCCTGATACTGACAGTGTTGAAATTATGGAAAAGATTCTAGTTGTGTGTTGTGCATCAAGAAATCATTGAATGTTCCAAACGATCATAAATAAAGGTTGCTTGCAAAACTAAATATTACTTTTATGTAATGCTATGTATTTTAATGAATCCACATATTTTATTACATAATTATGTACGTATTTTGCATGATGATACTACATAAAGATCTGAGCTCTAGTGAGGAGCAGCTTGAGAACTCTCTGTTGCTTATGCATGGAAATTGTGTAAATCCATCGTCATTCCGCAGCACATGGCATAGAAATTGACAGGTGTCCACAATGTTCATGAAAACCAGAGACTCAGATTTCTTCCTCTGGCTGCAAGCCTTGTACTGGTTTTACAGTGAAAGGATACAGCAGATTCCCATGCAGTGTGTGCCATACTGTAGTGTGAGAAAGTCCTGTTGCAGAAGAAATCTGATAGTACAGGTTGGTCGATTGTTACTAAATTTGTTTCAAAATAATTATTTTTCAGGCTGTGCTTAGTATTAGCAACCCCCATCCAGATATCTTCGTAGTAGTGAAAATAGATAAGATCCTCCAAGGTGGCATATGTCAGACAACAGAACCGTACATCCGCAGCACAAAAGATCCTCGACTTGGGCTCAGAGTACACAAAACTGTGAAAACATGTTGCCAAAGGTATGCAGTGATATAAACTTTAAGTGTACATAATATTAGTTTAAGCATAGTGAGCAGTGGATTTGACCACTAAACTGAAGAAAATCTTAAGAAACAGAACTGAACGCTGAGTTTGTTGCCCTGAGGCAGCCAAAACCGAGTGTTGACTTGGATACAGCTTTCAGTCAAGGAAAATAAATAGGGGTGTCACTGTACATCATACACACACACAAGCACGCGCGCCCACACACACACACCCACGCACATGAATGCACGCAATGCACACACACACACAGAGTGGAACTTACATGTAGAAAAAATTAAAAGAGTCTTTTTTTTTTGTTCGCTTGTATAGATTAGAGCTCAGAATGTGAATATGTCATGTGTATTCTGTGGTGTTAAGTGTTGTCTGGCTGATCTTTATCAGTTTTGAAGAAATGTGCTGCTTCCCTCTTCAGGGTAGAGTGGAGGTTACTTCACACAATGTTCGCTTCTTCTCCAACAACAGAGGCAGCTGGTTCTTCTAATACATTGGTAACCGTCTGCCAGGCTTTACAAATCACATTCTAGAAGACCACAGTCCTACTGTCCAGAGTTTATCTTTTTACACCCTTCAAATGCTTTTTCTTTCAGATTAGGGAACTACAGAATGCCATTTGCATGGACGGCCCGTCCACTGTTTCGGTTATACACTAACGAACTGGACACATCTGACTTTCCAGCAGTTTACCGCCAGGAGGGAAATAGACTGAGAGATGAGGAAATACTCAGGATTCTCTCAGAGTTCCGAAAGTAAGTGTTTTGAAGCCACTCCGTCAGATGTAGAAAGTGAAGGGGATTGGAACATTTTTACGAAGCAGCTATATGCACAGTACTGTCTTGTGGTACATGATGACGTGTAGAGGAGCTTACTGCGTGATACCTTGATAAAGGAGGGAGTGCATTTCTGTGAAATGTGACTGAATATCTAGCAGTCTGCATGCTGTCTCACCCCAGAAGACACTAGTGTTTAATTAAAGTTGGATTCATTCTTTAGTTTACTGATCATAGCTTTTGCTTTATGCAGAGATTTAACACTGGCGAACGAAGTTTCGATGAGCAGTGATTTTAACCTGATAATTGTTTGTTGTTTCTCTTTTTTTCCAGACCAGACAAGATGAGCAGACTGACTGTGATTCCTGGTTGGGTGAAGATCAGAATTGAACAAATCACAGAACTTCCTGAAAGTATGTTACATATTTTACTGAATACAGTAGAACTCAGATGTAAACCTTTCCATGCTGCAGTTGTGTATGTATGCTCTCTGACAAGTTAGATTAGCTGATATTAGGTTAAGTTACATTAGATTAGCTCAGGTTAAGTCAGGATAGGGTACAGAATTTTGTATGTGTTCTGTGACACTTTTTTTTAATTAGCCAAAACAACTCGACATGGAAAGGGTTAACTTTTTGCTTCATTTAACATCCAGCTGCAGCAATCCAAGGTCAGCAGTTGCTTTCTTATTTTCTTTATCTCTATGCTTAATTAAGCACCATACCATGAAGATGTATGGGGGAATGGAAGTATGGCTCCATGCATTCTTAACCTATGCAGTAGATCAGTGTTTCCCAAACTTTTTTATGCCATGGACCCCCTGTACCGAATGTTAATTGACCACGGCCCCAAAACCCAAAATGGAAATTTTTTATATTTTACATATCATGAGAGTGAAGCAGTAACTTACAATTTTACAACACTAAATGTGTCATTTATGACAAAATACTGTTATAAATGGAGCTTATTCAGAAGATCACAAACATATCAGTTAGGCCTAATATTATGAATTTAACACTCATGTAATCAACGATCCACACTTTAACCGCTGATCCATATCTAAATGAGATCGTGAACAAACTGAAAATCAGAAGTTTCGTCGTAAACTCAGTTATTTGAACAAGAGCAGAAAAACTGAACATTGAACCGAGAAAAACACACTTGTATAATATTATGAAAATTCACTGCACAAAAACTAAAGACACACAGGTTGTTCACTCTGTCACTGAAATGAATAAGAAATATGGTCAATGGTCCCAGCTTTATTCCCAACCAAAGAGGGGTGGATTTGGTAGGGAGGGGGAGAATGGTCAGACAGCAGGTAAGGAGGACAGCAGTCCACCCTGAAACACAGGTCTCAGATGCAATGGGCTGACCAAAAGAAAATGTCCTTGGAAAAAGCTACACAAATCGTTGGTTATTCACCTCTGCTTTACAAAGGGAAGAAGTAACGGTACCAACAGTCCCGTTAAATTTTACTTCATCCATGGGCCTCAAGAGCCAGAGATATAGCTTGCAAATATCCCAGATATGAGGAACATGTTAAGATAAAGTTTAATGAAAATAAACTATCCCGTGGACCCCTTTTGAATTACTCGCTTACCCCCGGGGGTCCTCGAACCACAGGTTGGGAACCACTGCAGTAGATGATGTCAAATGATCGACTTCATGCCTCAGCTACTCTGCCCCCAGTGAAAGTACCCATTAGATAGAAGGCTTTTGGGCCCCAGAGCCAGCCCTGACACTGTCGAGAAGGAGCCACTTAATATGGCTTCAGTAGAATCTGTGCTTAATATTTGCTCTCGCTATTTCGATCAAAATCTTTGTGAGGATAAAAAAAAAAATAGGTGCCAAAATTATTTTAAAATGATGAACTATTTAAAAGTGCTCACAACTGAATTGAAATCTGCGCAGTTAATAATTAAAATTTTACAAGAAGAACTTAAATATAACGTAGATGAATATAAAATTGTGGAAAATATACCTGTGTTCATGAATCTGAAATTTCAATTTGGACAATATACAAAGAATGAATGTGCAAGTGAATGGACTGAAGTTTTGAAAAAGAATCATTCAGTTTTGCAACAGAAGCAAACTTCTAGATGTGAAAACTACACCGTAAAGCATACATCTTGTACATCTCCAGCCATAACAAAGTACACAGTTCAGTGTTCAGTTTTTCTTCGATTTGAGATCTGTCCCATAACTTGTGCTGAAAGCGCAGCAGTCAGCATTCCTAATTATAATAAAAAAAGTATTAAACCTTAAAATATTCAACCATCAAAAGCAATAATGTTTTTATTGGATAATTTAAAATCAGCACTACATGTGTCAACCCTTAATGCTTCATCTTCAGTGTTCATTAGATACACAATTTAATTATTGACTTTGTAACGCGTGACCTTGTATCACTTCTGCTAATGTCTCACTTTTTGTTACGTAAGCATACTGTTGATGTACACATATCTAATGTGACATATGATATAAAATAGGTAAACTAATGCTGTACAGTCATACGCTATGTGTAGTTCTTAATAATATTAATTGTTTTACAATTTAAATTGCGTTATGTTTACGATTACAAGTTTGCCATTAAAAGTTAAAACTTAAAACAATTTATCATTGTGAGCAGTTGGTAGCTTCATGTCTCTGTGTTGCAATAGAATGCACTCATAAAGGTGTTCTTTTATTGGTTTTTATCTCTATTGTTGTGCAGAACTGATTCGTTCTCTGGTGTTACTGTGTTCTGTATTTATGTTCAGTTAATACAATATTACTACATTTAGTCCTGTTTTCATGGTGTTATGCTTTGCTGCACAATCAAAAAAATATTTTTAATTATCTTTATTTTAGATTCATTAACTGCATCATTATCTCCACTGAAACCATTTCCAATGCCACCAACGAATGAACCAACAATTGAAGTGATGGAATTTGAAGGAACCACTGAGAAAGATGTTCATCCATACACTACCTTTCTGAACCACCTGTATGTGTATCCACAGAGTTTAGCTTTTGATACACAGAAGACCTTCACAAGAGCAAGAAATATTGCATGCATTGTTGAGCTGATGGATTCAGATGCAGAAGGAGCGCACCCTCTATGTGTAAGTCTGTAGTCTACGCAGGTCTTGAACATCGGGTCATGATCCCCAGGATGGTCAAGATATTCTTTAAACAGGGCAGTCGAGTTCTCAAGAATTATTTAAAATGTAGTTCAGTCCTGTCACAGTTTTGGAAGGTTACTAAGAATTAATGTAGGCACTTTCAGAAAATGTAGCTGCAGCCAGTGACCATAATGTAGTGTAGGCGTAGAGAAGTTAAGCTGTTTAGGTTCCTGTGATCATTATACAGCTTGGTACGGACCTGCAGTAGCATACAGAGTGGTAGAGATGGGAGGAAAGCATACATTTAAATACTATTTGGGGGGTGCTGCAGTGTGACAGATTTTAAGAACTGCTGTAGATGTGTAGTTTTAGTGTGCTCTCATTATTTTGAAAAATTAAAAGGAGGCTTATGAGATTACTTGGCCGTGTCTGTGTTTGTATTTCTCCATAACAGCTTTTAAAGGTTTGTGTGTCATGGCACTTGAGCCTATCTCAGCGCCATATTTCATAAATCCCTCCTATCAGTAGTATCAACATTACAGCCTCTGAAATTGCTGAGCATCCTTAAGGCAGGAGTATTGTGACATGATGCCTGAAAGCCAGTATGATGGAGCCACAAGAGACAATCTAGTCCAGTGGTTCTCGACCTTTGTTGGACTGTGGCCCAGTAAATTCTTTTTTCTATAGGATGAGGGCCCGGTATAATTGATGCCAGGGCCTGTACCAGGCTGTGGCCTGGTGGTTGAGAAACACTGATCTAGTCCACAGCTTGGTAAATATGTTCCCACAACAATGAATACACACACAGCCTTAAAAGAACTGTTGGATGATGTATTTTCTATGTAGTCCATGCCAAGGCCAACCCTCAATTTGTAGTCAAAAGAAAGTAGGCTATTTGTTCTTCCCAGAATTTCTTGTTATTTAATGATGCTCTGTAGTCTAGCTACTGGCAGCCATTCTAAAGTAACCCACAATAAGAGATTGATGAGTTGTGAAGGGTGTGGAATGAATTGGTCATGGTGTAATTCAGGTAATATCCTAAGATATTCATGGGAGGGTGGCTCTGAAGAAAACCATAAAAAACCTTAATCAGCATAGCTCGCTGACATCTGATCCAAACACCTTCCAAACCCAAGTGTAGAGCATTACTGCTACACCAACCTGCTTTGTACTTGTTAATCATTTCATAATACACCTGCACAATACTGAGAAAATAATTTTTTTTTTGGCATTCCATTACAGTGTTTGTATGGGCGCCCAGGTGGTCCGGTCTTTGTGCACCAGATCTCATGTACCGTGCTGCATCACAGCACAACTCCTGCTTGGTACGAGGAGATCAAGTTGAAACTTCCGATTCATCTGCACAACAGACACCATCTTCTCTTCAAGTTCTACCACATTTCATGTGAGCCCTCCAAGAAGAAGGAGAGTGGCATCGAGACATGCGTTGGTTATGCATGGCTGCCACTACTTCACAGAGGAAGGTACTGAACTTCATACACTGTTCACTGCTCAGAATAGATTCATGTGAATATGAAATTAACTTCTAAATACAGTGTGCCCATATGATACAGATGTTTCAGCCTTTATGGAATTTTTCTCTTACAGAAATTATGTGACACAAGTATAATTTTTACAGTGTGAACCATGAAATATTGGAAGCTTTTAAAAATTAAATTCAAAGCAACAGCAGATTTAGTCCAAGCGTTTTGTAAGAAATGATAATTCTGTTAGAAATACAGATTGCATTGCATTGATTGTAGCAGGATGTCTAGGTGGCTATTATTCACTTGCAATGACATAGGAATATGGCTGGTAGTATGGTAGATATTGCAATATTGTTTTATATGCAGTGTATTGCCTTCTTTCAAGTAACAACATCTGCCTTTATTATAACTATATACAGAGAATTTGCACAGGAATGCATGGGGAGTCAATGGAAAAATAGTGTTTGCCATGTGTAATTTTGTGATATGAACATATTTGCAAGAACAGGCCACAGCATAGCTCAAGCGGTTAGTCGCTGGCTTCCCACTGCAGCGGCCTGGGTTTGATCCTTGATCCGATCAAGTGGGATTGGTGGACAAAGTGGTGCTGGGGCGGGTTTTCTCTGAATACTTTGGTTTCCCCTGCCAATCTTCATTCCACCAAATTCTCCATCATCATAATCAACCAGGGCAGATACAATAGGCCAATCAGTGGCTGCTATGCTGAGTGGACCCAGCTGGACTCTCCCCCACACTAAGCAAATTAATTATTTGCAAGAACACAGCCCTTCTGTAATATGAGGGCATGCTTTATAACTAGTCAGGCACAATAGACAAATAAAAGTATTAATGGGGTCTGCTATGGTGTAATTAGAGGGCAGTTGAAAGCTAAATTTGTTGGCTGTATAAGGGACCAGATCCTATGTTGGATAGTGTGTACATTCTTTACACTCCAGTGACAATGTTGAGAATATGCGAATAGCATAACAGTTATGGCACACTTACTCATCTTTAATTATCTCAAAAACCGTCAGAATTTTGAAAGGGAAGTATACTGAGTATAAAATTTGTTGTTCATTCTTCTGTACAGCGTTTATTCAAAACATCTTTGATTCTGATAAATATTTAGTGAGTTATGCTTTAGATGTATGCAGAAACATGTACTCTTTCACGTGTTTGATCATAGCCAAAATTGACAAATTGTGATAAATTTTTAGTGTAACTCCCTGGTATAAAATTTTGCAGAAGTCAATGTAGCAGTTCTTGAGTTATTATGTGCAGGTAGACAGACTGGTATTGCAAAGCCAGTAGGTGTATTTTTGCAACTTTTCGTTGTGAATTTGCCAAAAATGTGAAGATATTTAAAAGTTCAGTGTTGTTGATGGATTTGATGTTGTCACAGCAGTGACTTCTGGAAACGAATGGAGTGTAGTCTGGTAGAAGTTTATTAACATCTCAGAGAAACATTCTGCTAACAAACTAAGTTAGAAACCGGCAAGAAACAGGAAGCAGTGTGACTCATCAGTGGAGCAGCATCAATTAGATTTTGTTATTTGTCTTATTTATTTAGTTATGTTGGCTGCCTGCTTCTTGCTGGTTTCTTGCTTGACTTAATCTTTGACCCAGAATACCAAGGCAGTACATTCCTCTGAAATGTTGGGCTTCAACTTAACTACATGGCATTACTTTCCAGAAGATGAAGGTGAAGTTGTCGTTATGCTTAACTAATTAAGCACTGCGTCATGAAGGTGTAAGGAGGAGCGGATGTATAGTTCCACATTTTCTGGACCTCAGCACTAGTTGGAGGTGAGTGGTCAGCTTCACACTCTGGCCACTTTATGCCTGGGGAAAGAGCCCCCAGTACCCATTGGATAGGAGGGTGGGTGGGCCCCAGAATCGGTCTGGACATGGAGAAGAGAGAATTGTTGACCTTACCAGGACTCTGACCTCTCGGCCATCCAGCCCGTAGCCAGTCGCTATAGCAACTGCACTATCCTGGCTCCCACTGTCCAGAAGACAACTCTTGTCTTATAATTATTTGAGGTGTTATTATGTGAATTAATATGTGTTTTCTTCCTGACTTTCAGGTTGAATGTTGAAGAACAAGTTTTGCCTGTCGCATCGCATCTTCCTCCTGGTTATCTGTCAGTTCAGCCTTTGGGTCTTGGGAAAGGGGTAATGGTAATAGAGTTTTGTAACAAAACTGACTGATACATATGTCTGCACAGTTTCGAAAGTAAAACCATGCTGCGGTTTGAGACTGTAGTTTGTTGGTAGGTACTGACATTTCAGAAGGGCCCATGGGTCTTGTTTATGTTGCTCCTGTTGTTTTGCTCTAGTCCCTGTGCCCTTTCTTCCTTTTCTATATCACCCATCCACCTGTATGGCTTATTCCCCTGCAGATGGAGCCACAGGTTGCTCTGTGATGTTGGTACCTATCCCCCAAACTACTTATCATCGCTGATCAGGTTAGTCTAGCGTTTATCGTCTAGATTCATCTTCAGGATGTGCTTGGTTTGAATTTGGCTGTGACACTGACTGTCCTGACTAAGATTTCTTCTGGTTTTCCTCACGCTGTACATGCATATGGTAGGATAGTAGCTTAGTGAGCAGTGACTGCTTCCTCCTACAGCCTTTCTAGTTCAACATTTATTCTTCCATTCAATGCTGTGTAGTCGCATACTGGCAACGTTGTAAAATAACCAGCTAAAAAAATGAAGAGAAAAGAAAAATACATGATACCACATTCTATAAGACTGTAATCTTTGTCTGTGTTTTATATCATATAATTTCATTTGCAAGACAATGCTCTTGTAATCCTACATACTAAAAACAGAAGCATATATGTTTTATTTATATAATTACCATCATATTTCTAGAATGTTTTATATATCATTCTCTGTTTCAGTATTCAGGTCCAGAGATTTCGTGGATAGATGGTCAGAGACAAATTTTCAGTGTCAACTTTCAGCTGGTATCCACAGTTGTCACGCGTGACCAACATCTGCACAATCTCTTTGCTCACACAGACAAAATGTTGGAACACAGAGGGACATCTGCTCCACCTTCTGAGACAGAAATCTGCAAAATTCTTAAGGTAGAAGATAACCGCTGAAGTACTGTATATATCTAACAGGCTTTATCTAAAACATCTTTGTTAGTATGCCAGAATTGGTTATTACAATTCACTCAAGAGGCCCAAAGTGAATAATTATAAATCATGCAGTAGTTTACCAGTGAATACGAAACTTGGCAACACTCACTCTGTGCCTGTCTGTGCAGTTCATGTCATTTCCTACAGTCTGTGCTGGCTGTAACATTTGTGAAGGTGGAGTGTCATACCAGCCTGTGTCTCCAAGCAGAGAGAAGCTAATTCCATCATCTGCAACCTAAGTATCCCTACATCTACCTAGGTATGTTCTTGCTTAGTTTTATTTTCATTAATAAACTATTTCATGATTTATGATTTATGATTATTAATTTGTGGCCTCTGAGTGAATGATCCTTTAGAAGAATGCTGTGTGGAACTGCCTGGCACATTGTCTTTGGTTCCCATCACATTCAGAGTAGAATCTACTTACTTTGTAATTTTGTAATGCATAGACCTGTTGCAAGGCAACGATTCAGCAAATAGATCCTGTGGCAATGAATATGCAACAGTAGACGACATCTATTGCTAGGCAGTGGATGTGTTTTCTTTGTGGTCCAACCTGAGGCTGTATAATAAGAAGCAAACAATAACTGACAGTTTGGGCGTGGTTTAGTGTAGTGCAGATAGATGTTGAGAGTGTTAAGTTGAAGACAGTGATTTGTGAATTGTAACAAGTTGTACAAAAGCCCAATAAATTCAATCATCAAATCCAAAACCCATTTCATAAGTCACGCAGACCCCTAATATGTGACATTTTGGTGTCCGAAGTGGAATTGGAGTGATTGAATTATTGGATTGGAGACTGCAGAAGAAGCTATTCCAGCACACTATGGACATGGAGCAAGTAACTGTTGTTATTAATTTTTATTATTATTTATTCAAACTCAAATTCCTACTGTTATTTGAAGAAAAGATGGATGGCACCCACAAAAGAATGTTGGCCAAGATGGCTTCCTTTCATGAAAATATAGACGTGAGGAACGCTGAGTTAGATGCCCAGCATGGAAAGATGATCACCAGCCAGGAATGGACAATAGCCAAGATGGATGCTTGGCTAGCAGAAATGAAGGACAATTAGAGAGAGACAAAAGCCAACTGAGAAGTGACGCAGACCAATCAAGAGAAAATGGAGGTAAATCCAGATGAAATGTAGGCTGTAACGGTGCATGAGAAGGTCCCTAAGGAAGAGGCCACAGTGAAATCTTTTGGAGCATGGAAGAAGTGGCACAGGGATTGGCATCTAGCAGTAGGGTGATGCCGAGAGCTAAAGGAACGGACCCAGGGAAATTGTGGAGTGGTACGACGCAAGGGAAACATCAGAAAAAATCAGACCAAGTACAGTTTGGAACAAGGAGTCTGTAAAGAATGTATGTTCAGGAACAAACATCGCACAAAACTGAAGGGCAGCCATGTTGTAAAGAACTGAGACGTTAAGGAGCAATTACATCTGATGAGTGAGAGGACATCTGGCAGGATTTTCGGGAACTGGATCTGACTGGAGATCATGAAGCGAATTGCCAAATCTTCTGCTAGGATGCAGAAAATGAGGGACTGGGCATTATGGAGGAGTCAGCCCCCTCCAAAACAGAAAACGAGAGCGCACATGGAGTGACAGCTGGAAATGTAGAAACACGAGCCAATCTAAGCAGTTCTGCCCCATGAATCAGGAAAAAGGATGATGAGGAAAAAATTGGATTGACTGGCATCTTAAGAAGGGAGCAGTGGGAGCGGTTGGAGAGAAGTCACCACAGAAAAGACTGAGCCACGGAAAGATGAAACCAAACACAGCCCTTGGAGGTAGGAATGGTGGTACGCCTATAGGCTACTTGGGATGAACAGCCTAAACATAGACCCATTGCTAGGCAGCTACTCAGTAAACACATCTTGCAGCAATGCACATGCAACAGTAGAAGGCATCCATTGCTAGGCAATGTAAGTGTTTTCTGCGTGGTCTAACCCAAGGCTACATAATGAGAAGCCAGCAGTCACTGACAGTTCAGTAAGTGTAGTGGATTAGTGTATTGTTGTCAGAAGTTGAGAGCATCCAGCCGAAGACAGTGATTTGTGAAATGTTGTAACAAGTTTTATAAAGGACCAATAAATTCAATCATCAAATCGAAAATCCATTTTATAAGTCACACAAACCCCTGATTTGTGACATTATTGTGTTTGAGCGTCCTGTTGCATTGATGACTCATTCACCTATGCCCAACTGGTGAGAACATACATATGAAAGGAACACAAACATGGATGCTGCAAAAGGAAAATAAAGTGGAGTGAAGAGAGAGTTATATTCTCAGAATAACAGTGAGCGAAGTTTGCAAGTGAGACAATGAATAAGAGGCAAAAGAAAATACTGTTGTCTTCTATGGATTTTATGTGAAATTGGCTTTCAGGAATAAACGACAGAGGATGCTGAAGGTTTTCCACTTTTGCATGGATTGCAGTTAAAGTTTCCATGGTTAGTTTCTTCAGGGTGTTTTAAATGCTCTCATGTAGAGTTGGCAATGGACATTAAATGGGGGGGGGGGGGTAGATTCATGATTGGACAAAACAGGGGGTTTTGNCTTGGCCCGAGCCACATGGTTGCTCCTTGTCAGGTAGCATCCATTCTTTGGTTTGTCCATTCATGGCCCCTCCCTCCCCCACAGACACACACATGCACACAGCCAGATCTATATAAGGGCTTCCAGAACCTACCAAAGACAGCGGTCCTGAATTTGACAGTCACGGGGTTCACTGAAACAGGAAAATCTTGAGCATTTTACATGGCATAATCTCAAAGTTATTAACCCCCTCAGCATGAAACGAAAAGAGTAGGTCGTCGTGAAGTAGTTACTGCCTGTCATCGCATGTGTCAGAGTACTCCTGTTTAGTGGATATAGATGTGAAGTTGTTACATTTTGCCTGAAGGAGCCTTGTAGATAAAGCTGCAAGTTTTAGTGGTGACTAAATCATGACAAGCATTGGCACCCCACACTGAGGGGTTAGTGTAAGAAATCTTGTGTTATTACCCTGGTTTTGACTTGCAGGCCACACATGCAATCCAGCTCCCGACTGCTGTTACATTTTTGCCGACTCTTTTGAATCACCTATTCAGTCTCCTGGTGGCGACCTCTAGCGAAGAAATTGGACTTAATATCATCAGGGTTTTGATACACATCATCCACATGGTTCACCAGGCTGGGCGGAAGGAAATCCTCCAAGCCTATGTCAAGGTGAGCAGACTTCAAGTAGAGTTATGAGGTAGGTGGATATGTGATGAATTCTGCATATTCTGGAGAAATCTCTTGAAAACATAGAAATTTTCTTTTCTATTCCTCCTCTCAGCATTTCCATTTTGTACTCGTCAGCAGACAGAAATCTCCAATCTTTTCTTTCTTCCCACAGTCTTTCCTTTTTTATTTTCTGACCTCTTTCCTGTGTTTTCCTATCTTCCTGTATCCGACTGAGCTACTGCTATGTCATCCTGTACATCTCCTTTCTTTAAATTTTGGTTGATGCCCTCTAAATGTTCTCTTTTCCATTCTGTTTATGTAACCAAACTATTGTAGTCACTTCCCTTCTACCTCTATTAACAAATTTTGAATTCCAACACCTTCTCTAAAGAAAGCAGTCTTCTGGGATTTGGCACCGTGTATATGTGGTGTTAACCGACGTTTCGGAGGAACGTATCGCCTCCATCTTCAGGGTAGAAGAAAAAATATAAGAATTCTGCAAGCGGAGAGACCGTGAGAACCGGTAAAAGCAGACTGTGTGGAAATACACAGCTATGTGAGAGCAGAGAGGGTAGGGGGGAAGGGCAAGTATACAAGTGAAAGCAGTAGTGTGGGAGGGGTAGGGGAAGGGAGCTGGGACAAGCGTGTTTTTGTGTAGGGAAGAGAAAGGCAAGATTAAAGGCTGGGCACTAATCCGTAAGCTGAGGGGGGTGGGGGTGGTTNTAACAACCACCCCCACCCCCCTCAGCTTACGGATTAGTGCCCAGCCTTTAACCTTGCCTTTCTCTTCCCTACACAAAAACACACTTGTCCCAGCTCCCTTCCCCTACCCCTCCCACACTACTGCTTTCACTTGTATACTTGCCCTTCCCCCCTACCCTCTGTGCTCTCACATAGCTGTGTATTTCCACACAGTCTGCTTTTACCGGTTCTCACGGTCTCTCCGCTTGCAGAATTCTTATATTTTTTCTTCTACCCTGAAGATGGAGGCGATACGTTCCTCCGAAACGTCGGTTAACACCACATATACACGGTGCCAAATCCCAGAAGAATGCTTTCTTCATAGTCACCACCGTGAAAGCCTCAAATCTTACATCTTCTCTAAAAATATGATTTTTAATTCTGTCACCTTTTGCCTTTTATGGGTTATTTTATCGCGCTCTTAGTGCCTGGACTGTGCAGTATCGAATGGCAGAATGGTGGATGAAATGGAAGAAATTTGGGAGAAAACTGCCATAGCTTGATTCAGGTACTATCCCTGCATTTGCATGGAGAAACTGCAGAATGTCACAAAAGACCTCTGTCAAGAATCAAACTGATCATCTCTTGAATACAAGTGGAGTGCAGTTGCATTTTATACGAATTTGAAGTATTGTGATATAAAAAAAATATTAATTAAGTCTTACTTTATGCACAGAGTTTGAAATAACTCAAATTCTGTTGTTGTTATTATTATTACTCCTTTGAGAATGCTTGTCTTCAATTATGCGAGGTCTTCAGGGACAGATTCCTTGCATTAAATGTGACCACACTGTTTTGAATTGACCTATTCTTGTTTCCCACAGTACTTCCCAAAGATGTTGCGTCTGTTGCTTACAGTTTGCTTTGTTATGGAAATGTATGAACAATAAATTCTCTCATTTAATAATTGCAAGTAGTAATATTGATGGAGTTGTTTCAGCACATGTTGTTACATATTTCCCTTGTTCTAGTAAAAAGTCAGGCAACTTAGTTAAGCTCTTATGTTACAATGGCCATGATTCCCCTGACAGCCAACTTTACCATAAGATTGATCTTTTCAAGAATGTAACCTGTGCTGGTAAGGGATACCTGTAATTATTTATGTGTAGTGTTAAAATACGGTGATCACAGTGGCCGCACAGTCTGAGGTACGAACTGTCTTCACCCGCTCAAACACTGGAGTCATGGGTATGGATGTTTGTCTATGTTTATTCTGTGTTTGTGTTGTCCTCTTGTTGTCAGCCTTGTGATGGGGTGATCCCCCATCCAAGGATTCCTACCGAATGTGTACAAAATTAAGAAACTGAAGCGAAATGAAGAGTCTCACTAATGCCCTATGCTCCAGAAGGGGCAACAGGAATATGAATGAATGACTGGAGGTGGGCAGGAGCCTGTATGCAACAGTGGAAGTACTGTTGGAGGTGGTGTTTTCTATGTGATCAATGCAGTGCACTGGAGTGGAGTGGAATGAGTTGGTTGTAGAGTGAGTGATTTAGAGGACTGCTATGGTTCAGTCCTTGTGAGCTGTTGCTGTTAGAATCTGGTAGCTGAGGCATGGGGATAGTTTGGGTACCTGTTGTAAGGGGAATGTCTGCCTTAGGAAGCCGTTACCAAGCAATGACTGGCGAAGACAGCAGACTGAGGCACGCTATAGTGAACTGCAGAATGTGTGAATTAGCAATAATGCTATAGTTACATGTAATTACAATCTATTAGTGGTCAATAAATCCAGTTACCAAGCCAAACTCCATCTGTAGTCACACTATCACATGACAATATTTTACTGCCCCAGGACCCAGGGAGCCATGCAACTCATGTGTTCCATGTCTGCGTTGTTTTTGTGTTTTTATAACTCTGGGCTGAACCAGAGAGAAAACAGCACCTTGAACATGTGGTCCATGTCATATCAGAGGAAGCAGGCAATCAGTTCTTCCCAGAACTTCTTGCTCTTCTGTAAGGTTGTGATATACCATCAGAAATGTTATAAACAAAGTACAGATGTCCCATACAAGGGGATAAAATTACCACTGCCTTAACCAGAGATCGTAATGTGATCTTTCTTACTTTACAGTTTGTGTTTGTCACACCAAATGTGACCAGTCTGACAACTGTGCATGAAGAAATGAGTCGTCACTTGCCCACCTTGTTACGTCCAGCCAACACAGACTTTCTAGTCATAAATAAGTTCATGCATCACTCCAACTTCTTCTTTGATATTATGGTGAAGAGCATGGCACAGCACCTTCTCAGCAGCGGGCGTATCAAGGTTAGTACAATATTAACTCTCCAGGTATGAGTTAGAGGAAGGATGGTAGGCTGCCAGATCTAATGCTATTGAAGATAACTGTCTTCTGTAGTGCAACACTGTAGTCTGGCAGAAAGGTATCAGTGTTTCAGAGGAGTCTGATACCCTGAAGATGGGTGCAGTAGTTTCCTCCAAAACATTGATACCTTTCTATCAGACTATACAGCATCACAAAACATTTTGTCTGTGGTAACATTCTCAGCTTATACTAGGTAGGTAATAATATTGTGGCGTGCTGCCTAAAAGACGAAATATATTATATCAGAACGGACGTTCATTGCTAGACAACGGCCTGTTAAAACAAGTTTCCGAGACAGCACATACATAATAGACGTTACCATGGAAATAAAAGCCAGAGCTAGGGCATTTCCCGCAGTAATGAATACACTAGCTAACACATGAAATGGAATCCTTCAAGAAGGTGTCTTCTTGTCTGTCCAACTGTCAAATATAAGAGACTTGAAAGAACAGAGTGAATTGATGAGATCAGAGGAGAACAAAGCGGAGGTCAGGTCAGAGGAGAATTGAGAACAGATCAGATCAGAGAAGATCAGGTCACACCAGAGGAGAATTGAGAACAGATCAGATCAAAGGCAAAGAGAGCCGAGCTTGGAACAGAGGTGGACATAGCACAGCTGAGAGAAGAAGAAACCAGCTCAGCCAAGAACCAGAAGACGAAACATGAGCAGTGACGGACTAATCAGGTCGCATCATCTGGTAGATGTTATTTCAGAGTGACTGTAATTGTAATTGTAAGTGAGTCATCCAATAAAGAGGTTCACTTAATCCAGAACCCATTACTTATTTGTACGGAACCCTGAACACATGACAGAATATTCTGCCATTCCATCAGGAGCATAGGTCGTCTACTAGTTTTTTTTTTTTTTTTCATTTTTCCCGATCCACCGCTAAATACCTCAGGTCACTCCGACTTTTTCCAGCTTCTCTCAGAGTGGATCTCCAGCTGTTTCTTGGTCTTCACTTTCCTTTGTTTCCTTGAGGATTCCACTGAAGTGTGACCTTTTATGGATGTTCATCAGCCTTCCTCATCGTGTGGCCAATCCATCTAAATTGTACTAGGGAGATGCTTAACTCAAATCAGCTGGGACACTGGCAATCCTGATTGGTGTTTTTTTTGTGGTTTTCTTCTTTACCTCCAGGAAAATGCCACTGTAATACTTTGTTCTGGCCACAACCACTTCCTTCCAAATCATTTCCAATTTATCGTTCGTAATATCGTCTGATACTGACAGTGTCATTAAGTTACAGCTCTGCAGTGTCACATCCCAGAGGATAATAATCTTTGCATTCACTGCTATGTGAAATTCAGATCTTTTCAAATATAATCTTCTGGGATGTGGTGCCATGCAGATCTACACGGCAAGTCTTTATTGTCACCGCCCTGAAAACCTCAAATCTTGCATCAGACTTTGTGACGTCACATCCGCATGTTGCATTTGTATAGTCTGTACTACCCCAGCAGTATGCACTGGGCAGCCCATTTCATACTTTGTTGTATAAATACAAACTTCAGATGCTGTACTCATGCAGTGTTAGCCCCTGATAATGAGATGAAAATGGTCTCCAAAGTGTTTGACACTGACTCCATATTGACGTGCCTGGTTGCTTGAGAAGACTTCATTGTTGATTTCCGTAAAAGCTGCAGGTCATATATGGGTGTAGGTGCTGTTACCATTCCTTCAGTAATTTGAGATATTCTGGTTCTCACAGCATTGAATATGTATGAAGGACAGTCAGTAAATAGGTCACAAATGGAAGTAAAACAGCTGTAATGGATGTGATAGGTTTTCTGTGTGTCTTGCTATGTAGCAGCACAGTCCAGCTTCGTAACAGTCTAGGTAGCAGACACGCATGAACGTGTTCAGAGGCTGTTTTCAGTAGCCAAAATGGTGATTATGCTTGAGGAGTGTACTACCGAAAAGCAGCATTCTGTGGGCAAAAGGACTGAATGCAAAGGATATTCATAAAGAATAGTTTCCCATTTATGGTGGGATGTGTTTATCGCATATAGTGGTTCACTACTGGGTTGAGAAATTCGAGAATGTTTGAAAGTCGCAGACGATACCTGACCAGGTGTGGAAGTGGCTCAGACAGCAGTCAAAAGACTTCTGTACTGCGGGTTTCAGCTCACTAGTAAAACAATGGGACCAGTGTATTATTGTTGGTACAGGATGTGTGGAGAAATAAATGTTTTTTCCAGGTTCAAATATCACATTTTTTACATTTCATATCCATTTATGACCTATTTACTGACTCTCACTTCTAATTTCTACCCTGAAGATGGAAGCAGCAGGTTCTTTCAAAACATTAATACATATGCACCAAACTACATAGCGTCGTATCCCAAAAGGCAGTAATTTTAGAATATTGAGTATGCTGTTATAATGCAGATGCACCGGAACGAGAGGTTCACTGCTGACTTCTTGTATCGGATCCAGAATTTGCTCCAAGTGCTGTGCCCGTATTTGATCCAGAAGTACAAGGAGATGCCAGTTGAGACCCAAGAGCTCAATCGCAGCCTGGCAAACTTCCTCAAGGTGAATTACCTGCATGAAACTGCTTAAATAAAATATATATCAGCATGTTTTAGGATGTCTTAGTTAGCGAACAGATACAGTTTACTAGCCTCAAGTTCAGTTTCTTTACATCATCATCATATGGGCTTTTGGCTTACTGGTTGTGACACTGCAGGAGAACAGTGAGAAGCTTCATGTTATGTGGCCCTACGGTTTGGAGAGTGACATATGTAAATATGCAGATCAGGTCACTTACCTCCATCTTGTATCCACACAGCCTTTCATGTTGTGATGCTTAGTTAAGCACAGGGACACATTTACTTGTAGGAATGTATAAACTTTCAGCGACATGATGTATATATTGCTTCACCAGTCTGCACAAGGTGGGCGACATACACGTATTTTGGCATGTACAAGTAGGCATGTCATCTTCAGGCCCTATATACTTGAATACAGGAGTAAACTTTTATATTATGTGGAGGCTGTATGGTGCACAGCCTCAGTATTACAAGAATTTATACAATTCGAACAGATGTCCATTCTAACAGATGCTCGTAATATCCAAAATTGGTTAAAATACTTAAATGCAAGTCGATCCCCAAACTACGAGCTCGGTTAGCTCAGTCAATATAGTGATGGGCTGGATGGATGGGGTTTGATTTCAAGCAGAGGAAAGATTTTTCTTTTCTTCATAGTATCCAGACTGGCTCTGGGGCCTACCCAGCTACATATCCAGTTGATACTGGAAGCAGTTTCCCTGGGGATAAAACAGCCAGGTCATTAAGCTGACAGCTCACCTCCATCTAGTGCTGAAGTCAAGAATCTGGAGCTATACTTCCACTCCCCCATATGTCTTCAGGTAATTGTGCTTAATTGATTAAGCACAAGGACAACTTTACTTCTTTATGCCATCCCCAGACTTGCAGTTATGTACATATAATATCGCGTGGTATTAAGGTGCAACAATATTTTGTTTATCATTGGGATATGAAAATAATGAAGAACGGATCAGCATTCCCATTTTTGCTAGCATTATCTGAAGTGAAGAATGGAAGATTTCCTGAAACTTACATAACCTCTTCTGTTCACAACAAACTACTAATTAGGAGCCGTCTTTTTGAGTTAACATCCTGCTCACTGTTTGCTGCATGCTCACATACAACACCCATATTGTGCCCATAATTTGTGAAGGAATGAAGATGCACATATTTGCTGCAACATGTTGCCCACCTTGTGCAGACTGATGAGAGAATGTTTGTGTGTGGCTGAAAATGTATGCATGTGTATTGATTCTACACAACATGATGCAGCCAAACAGGCTGGCCTAGTGGTGACACTCTAGGCTCATGGTCAGGTGGTGCTTAATTCAAATCTTATCAAGAACACTGGTTATCTTGACAGGATTTGCATGGTTTTCTGGATAGTAGACAGGGTTTAGATTGGTGAATGGATTTACTACCGCTTACAGGTCGTACCTCAAATAACCGTAACACTATTGCTATTTCCACACTTTACAGTTCACTGTCACACACACTAGTGTCTTCAGTCTATTACAGTCTCCACTAGCTGTTTCCTGGCAGTAGATTTTAACACAGGAACTATAACAGCCTCACTGAATACAGACTCCAGATATCACACATAAATTCTTCTCTTCACAGCCTCTCATACAGAACTGAACTTGGTCTAACTTTATCCCTTCGTTACAACATCTCAGCATGGACCACATAGAAAACACAGCTCTTCTGTTGTTGCATTTTATTGCTGCATTATTAAAAATCTGCTGCCTAGCAACAGGAATGTGTTTACCAAGCCGTTGCCCAGAAATGGCCCTGATATATCCATCCATCTCATGGTTGTTGTATAGGAACAGCTCTACACTCTACAATATTTTGATCAGCCCATGATTGCTACCTTCTGAATGTTTTCCAGTTCATCATTCATCTGTTATTGTCTAGTTACTGACAGTGCTGATAACTGAATCACAAGAAGTAGGACCTGCTGCTACATTATGTAACATTTTCCTGTACATTAGAAATGGCTGCATGGTAGAAAGATTGCCTTTGTTCTAATTTTGAAATATAGCAAGAACACTGTTACATCAGGAGTCATTTTATAAGTTTGCTTAATGTTTTATGGTCTTTACAGAAGTGCCTGACTTTCATGGACCGAGGTTATGTTTTTAAACTTATAAATTCGTACATGGATAAGTTCAACCCAGGAGATCCGAAGACTCTATACGACTACAAGTTTGCCTTTCTCCAGATCATCTGTTCACATGAACACTATGTTGCTTTTAATCTGCCACTTCTTCATCCGAGGATGGGAAGCAGGAGCAGGAATGGTTAGTATTTGAAGTTCAGAGATGTTCTGTGTAGAGCATCTGCGATGGTGCATTGTAAATTGAGTATGAGAGTCTCATGCTCGACAAGACCTGCAGTACGCCATTTTGGGTTCCTATCTCACGTTGAGACTAGAATGCAGCAACTTTCTAATGATAACATAGCAAAGAGTTTTAGACAAAGTACTGCTGTCAAATAATTGTTATATGTACAGGATTTTAAGCAAATTCTTATTTAATTTCTTATATATTTCAGCATCCTGTTGCGTTGAAATACCATTTTTAAATTGTAAAGTATTGCATCTGTAACACAGCAAAATCAATCCTTTCTTAAAAGACACTAAAATATATTTGATTCAAGTGTTTATTAAATATTTTAAAATGTCATTAACTATGAGGGGCAGTCAAATGAAAACAGGTCAGAAGCCAAAACATATTAAAGAACATTTCTTACCTCAAAAGTAATCTCCAAAACTGTTAATACATTTATCCCGCTGGGAGATAAGACTGTCAGTCCCATCCTTGAAAAAGCTTGTGGCTGTCTACGGAACCACATCTTTACCCAGCCACACACGTCTTTGTCCAGTGCATGCCGATGTCCACGAATGTCTCTCCTCAGGTCTCCAAAAGTGTGAAAATCAGATGGGGAAAGATCTGAGCTGTAGGGGGGATGTTGAAGCACTTCCCAACCATCTCTGTAGCGTATTCCTCACGGATTTGGCAGTGTGGGGGTGCACATTATCATGAAGATGGATAATGCCATTCGATAGTATTCTAGGTCGTTTTGACTTTATGGGGCATCTCATTTTCTGCAAAGTGTATTCATAGCGCTGTGTACCGATTGTGGCCCCATGCTCGAGAAATTCGACAAGCGGAGGGCCCTTGCAGTCGAAGAAGAACGTCATCATCACTTTACTGGAACTTGTATGTATGGCTTTGGATTTCTTCGGTGGGGGAGAATTCACATGTTTCCACTGTTCGCTCTGCCATTTGCTCTCGGGTTCAAAATGGTGGCACCAAGTTTCGTCCCCAATGGCAATACGGGACAGAAAAGAATACTCTTCCTCGTGGTATCATTACAAGTGACCCAGTGATGCAGCCATTCTCTTAGTTTTCTGTTCCCCCACGAGTTGATGTGGAACCCACTGCACACAGATTTTGCTGTATAGCAGGTGTTTTGTCACCATGGCATGTATGGAACCATGACTTATTCCCATCAAAAGACTAATTTCTTCCACAGTGATCTGTTGGTTTGCCTGGATATGACCATCCAATGCAGCAATAACATCAGGAGTGATGACACGATAAGCCTGTCCTGGGCGATCGTCATCTTGCAGTGACACGTGTCCTCGGAATCTCATATGCCATGCCAGCACATATGAATGTGACATGCTGTGTTCGTCATAAACAGCAGACATGCGATGAAGAATTTCTCGTCATCCTACTCCTTCAGCAGTCAAAAAGCGCACTACACTTCACTGTTCCTCTTTACTCGCCTCCATTACTGATGTTGTATGACCACACATAGCACTAACCTTACTTCCAGCACAATAAACAAATCACTAGTGTGCAAGGGCGCATTGTCACTGTCCTTTCCCGAGTCCCAAAACTGCATTACAAGCCAGAAGGTCGTGGATTCGATTCCCAATGAGGTCATCAGAATTTTAAATTGACCTAATCCTTCCAGCCGCACTATGGCCCTGGTGTCGACCAGCCTCTAACAGAAACGAGTACCAGCAATCTTCCTAGGGGTAAAGGATGGTCATAAGGCTGACAACCTGACTGCCATCTATAAGCAGATTGTCTAGAAAATATTGGAGCCTCAGCATCTCACAACCCTATGGGCCTCCACGGCCTGTTATAGGGATAGCTTTACCTAACATTTGATGATGTGTACTCTGATATGCTGACAGCATAATTAAACCTTCAGGGCCGAAGTCTGTACCTGGCACGGGTAGTGCAGCGCTAAGCTTCAGCTCATATTTTGCAATGTTGTTTTTCAAGTAAAGTAATTCTTTTGGTGTGAAATTAAAGAGGAAATTTGAGGCCATCATTTTGTACATTCATTGTCCCACTTTGCTCTTCCTGCGGGAGTTGTAATACATTTGAATTCTTTGAAAAAATGTTCTACTTCAACACTTGATGTGCTTATTACCATACAAACCTGATACTGTGTGCTGTCCTGCATGCTACTCAAATGAGAAGTCGATTGTCTTGAGGCATATTCTGACCAGTGCTGCTTCTTCATTGGAATTTGTAATCACGAGAAGACACATGGAGAATCTACGATTTTGAGACGTGATGTTGGCTCTGAGAAGTGTGTTATGACTGCCATGTAGCGACCCATAAACAGTTCGCTATATGAAGGGTACTACTGTAATTCCCCTTTGGTCTTTAAATACACATCGTGCAGTCCAGTTTTAGCTGCCAAGGCCAGTCACGAGCATTGAAGTGGCCAGCTGTGTTGTGTCACGACCAGTGGAAAATATATTTACTTCAAACTGAATCAGAACAGTTTTATCAGATTCGAAATTAGTCACTGAAAATGGATGTTAGTGCTTTTCTTGAGTCTGTGGCAAATGACAGAATCAAGAACATAAGGGGCAAAAAGAAAATTTCTGAATGTGATGACAATACATAGGAATAACACAAGGAAAAGTATAGAACAATTGTCAATCAGAATTCAGTTAATTGAGGGACTCTCTGTGAAATATGCTAATGCTGTAGAACACAAAGTGCCAGGTCGACATTAGTCAGACAAAACAGTGCCCATCTAAGAGAAAGAAATTTTTTAAGGAAGATTCCACCAACTGCAAAGAAATCAAAACCACGGAAACAGTGTGTTGTGTGTCAAAAACTGTACCGGTGTGACGCGTGTGACGTGGGACTCTGTATGGAAGATTTTTATGACTAAGATTATTTCTAAGATAATATGAGATTATTATTCCTAATTTTTATAGGCTTACTGTGCCAAAATAATAATTTTAAAGCAGTGTGGATCAGTACACAGATTCTGTATGTGTTTCTGAATGTAGTGTGAACATTAGAAAAACAAAACTCCAGGTTTCCCAATTTATTGCACTTTAAGTGAACTGTTGCGTTTACCGTTTTAAATGTTTAAATATCCTCCGTCCCAAGGAATGAGTAGGAATTAAATGTCCTCCATTGTTGAATTGTTAAATAAACTGTAAGGAGACAGATAAATAGAACACCTACTTTCCTTTGATATGACATGGACCACATACAAAACAAAACAAAATTAGGATGCACAGACATACACATAATAAGGCGATCTTGTGTCTCCTTTTATTTTTGCAGGGTAAGGGATGTAGGGTAAGAAACTGTGATGAAACAAGTAGCTACATGGCTGTGCATGTGTTTTTAAATTTCAGATTATATGAGTGAATATTGCCTGTCAGAAGAATTTTGTAAACAACACTTTCTTGTGGGGCTGTTGCTTCAAGAAGTCAGGACATCACTCAACGAGGTGTTCCAGATTCGAAAAGTAGCTGTATCAACCCTGAGGGATCTGTTAGCCAAACACGAGTTAGATGACAGATATCAGAACAAGGTAGTTTGGGTTCCTGCCACCATTGTCTCATAATGGTACCTTTGAATTGTATTTCTCCATGTCCACAGAAAGTAGTTAAAAGTTAAAGATAAGGGTGTCCTTGTGTTCAGTTAAAACCCAACACTGTGAAGACATAACAGACAAGTAGAGGTATAGCTCCTTATATCCGTAGTTTCATTTTTAAGTTATTTATAACATTTTATAATCCATTTAGAATTTTATGTGTAAGCCTTCTGGGAAGACCAAGGCGTAGGTGGGTGGACAATATTAAAATTGATCTTAGAGCGAGAGGATGGGATGGAATGGATTGGATTGATGTAGCTCAGGATAGGGACCAGTGGAGTGCTCTTGTGAACACGGTAATGAACCTTCGGGTTCCATAAAATGCTGGGAAATTCTTGAGTAGCTGCAGGATTGGTGCTCCTCCATGAATAAGTAAGTAAGTAAGCCTTCAGATTTAAGTATGGCAGAAAACCAACTCTCACAGTGGCAGCAGGATCAGTTATTTATTTATGTTTGTGCTTACTCAGCAGCCCAAAGGCCAATTATAAAATAACCATAGGCAAAGAGAGAGATGGAATAAACTCATACACACAAAGAAAGACAAACACGTGAACTTCTATAATTTAGACATTAATAATAATTCAGTTAGTCCAGTCACACTAAGTATTAAGCAATGAGAAAAAAGAATATGTACATACACATTCATGTTGAATACGGTTAATATTTTAATAATTAAGAAAGTGCCTTTATAAAATATGATTTGTTGCAAATAGTAGTTGTGTAGAATTCTGTTCTATTCTTTAGTTATTTACATGCATACTCAGGATTCCAGTGGCAGATATGTAAGATGAGCCCAAGCAAAGAGATACAGGACAAATGCATACACACAAACAAAAGACAAAAACAAGGCAACATGTATAGATTAGGCAATAACCATTCCAGAAATACATACATATATATACGTGTGTGTTCAGTAAACTGTCGTTATAATAGAAAAAATTTGGCTGGGTACAGTCGTGAATTTTTAGAGATGTTGGGGCGCTAAGAAGGTTTTGTAGTTAGAAAACTATTTAAAATAAAAATGAACCCCAATATGAAAACCTCTATGTGATCACACTGTGTCTGTGTATTGCATGTATTGGTTATGTATCCTGGAGTGTAATTCTGTGAATGTCCTTTCAGTTGGTTAAGTGGTGGTCATCGGTGATAACGAATGCCCTGTCCCCCTCTGTTATTCCCTTATGATGAGGGTTTACTGTATTTGTACATTGTATAAACATTAATAACAGTTTTTCTAGAATAAAACTGTTATAGTTAATAGTGTACAAATTTGTGTTAGTGGTGTATACTTGTATTAACCCCTGAAGCTGTTTCCCTGCATCTATATATGCTTCTGTCTTCCCTGCTGCTGCTACACCAGTCCAGCACAATACAGTAACATGTGTTTGTAAGCTGCATTTTTTCTCTTGCATATCTGTGGCTTTATTTGAGTGTCATTAGAAGCATCACTATCTTTCCTTCAGTCAAGGTGGAAACTGGCTTGCTTGCCCAGTTTGTTGTGCAGGAAGTGTCTCTGGCTCGCCTCATCATTTTGACTCAGTCATGTTGTTTCTTGCTCCCATTGAACATGCTTATTGTTTGTTTAGTATGTTCCCCTTTTGACTGCGCCATAGCTCAAGCAGTTAGTCGCTGGCTTCCCATCGCGGCGGCCCGGGTTTGATCCCGGGTTTGGTCAAGTGCAATTTATGGTGGACAAAGTGGCGCTGAGGCAGGTTTTCTCCGAGTACTTCAGTTTCCCCTGCCAATCTTCATTCCACCAATTGCTCCACAATCACCCTCACCTATCATGTGGGGCTGGTACAATAGGCCAGAAGTGGCCGCAGTACAAGTGACTTAGTCCCACCCCACTAGCAATAAAAAAATATTCCCCTTTTAAGTGTTTTTGATATGCCCAACAATTTTCAGGAATGCAGTCCACACACATAATGAAAGTCATCTCTACAGATGTGACGCCATGTAATTGCTAACGCATATGTACTGACAGTTATTTGTTACACTGAAATTCTGTTCTGTTCAGATATCAAAGTGCAAGGCTGATTTACATTTTAGTTCTAAGAATCATGACATGATTAAATTTTTTGCTTACTTTTATATTTTCTTGTAATAATCACACTTTGATAAATATTAATATATTTTTTTATTACTTACCAGGGCCAATTGGGACGCATTGCAGCAGTCTATATACCATGGTTGGGAATTGTGCTGGACAACTTGAACCGTCTGAACTGTGTGCAAGAGTCAGGTGGCAGACACACTGAGCTGCACCATATGTGCAGTTCCAGTAGCAGGTTCTCAGACAGTAGCTCGTTCCTCAACCTAAGGGACTCAGGGACATCAGCAGGCACGCCGAAGTCTCTGAATAGGTTTACGATGCATCTTGATGGGAACTCCAGTGCACGAGCATCCATACACTTCAGAGACTCTTCATATTTTTCTGCCATAGCTGGCCAGGGTGAGAGACCTGTGTGGAGCCTTACTTGTTTGACACACTGAAATATAACAAGCCGTTCTTTTAACACTTAATATTGTCATGTAAGTGGGTGACTATAAATGGGTTTTGGATTGGTAATCACATTTATTCATCTCTTAGAACTTGTAACTAAAAGTAACTATAGTTCTGTCACTAACTCACACACTCTGCAGTTCAGTACGGCATGCACTAAGTTTCTTAGTCTTCTCAGCCTACTGTATCTTATCCTGTTGTCTGGTAACAGCTCCCAACACCGTAGCTCCCTCACATGGCTCGCGCCTGTCTCACAACTAACTCTATGTTGCTGCACAACGACTTACAGCAATGGGGGCTGCCATGCCTCCCGTGCATCCGCCAGAGGTGATTGTCTCACAACAGCCTCAGACTCAGACTGATCTGTCTGCCTGTACACTCTCTCTGAACTGGTTTGCTTGTCCTGTTGGCCCTTGCGATGTAGCCTCAGGATGGACCCAACAGAAAACATCTTTTCTTGCAGCTGCAATATTACACAGTCGATGTAGCCTCAGGATGGACCCAACAGAAAACATCTTTTCTTGCAGCTGCAATATTGCACAGTCATACAGCCACCAGGGTGGACCACACAGAAAATGCTGCTTTTGACAACTTTTCTATTTTCACGTGCATAACTGTTGCTTGCTTGGCTTACTCTTCAGCGCTGAAGGTGTAGGCAGTATGTTCCGCAAACACTGATGAATGTCTACCAGACTACACAGCATATTGTCTCAGAAGACAGTAGCCTTCATGTTCACTGCTGTGAGGGTCCTCATCTGGAATGTATGTCATGAATCTGCTGGTTGCATGAGAAAACACTTACAGAAACCCAATACATGGTCAAAATAACACACTTTTGCTGAGTTCTGTGTAGGAGTCTTTGTAGATGACGTATCAGGTTGATGGATGAAAGATTTGGGTTACATTGCAATGCAGTGGCAGATTCAGCTAGCCACTACCATAATGGCACTTGCATGAGGTAGGACAGTGGGTGTTGCTTCTAATGGCATGTTGCAAACTTGTTTTTAAATCACACTTTAAAAATGGTACATTTTATTTTGCCAGTAGAATGAGAATTTCAGATCCTTGGATGCTGGATAAACTGCAGTTTGCTGTATGTTTGTCATGCATTGAGCAGACAGCATCCTTTATTCCAAAGGAGTTCTGCAGCATCATGCATTGTATGCTGTAATTAGAATTTGGCAACTTCCTAACAATTAGATAATGATCTGCATCACTATCTGATGATAAAACTGCAGAGATGTTTTAATCAGAGTGTTAATTTGTTGTCACATGACTGAGTGACTATAGATCGGGTTTGGGTTGGTAATCAGACTTACTGAGCTCTTACTGACCATAACTACAAATAACTACAACAGTCTCACTGAGTTACACACTCGAAAGATCACTATAACTGGAACACACATGAAGGCTTCTTAGTCTTCACTAGCTGTTGCTTGCTAGTGACTTCCAACGACAGATGTTCTCCTTTCTCTCGACTCCTGAACTGTCCCCAGAGCTTTTCACTTCTCACAACTGCAGCTCTCAACTGAACTACCAGTTCTTGTTATCATGGGATGGACTGCACAGAAAACGTTTCTTCCATTATTGAGTGTTCTCTCATTGTCCATAGAGCCATTCCATAGCAGCAGCTGTTGTACCATCTCATGCTTACACAGCTGTTACTTGGCAACGGGTCTGCATGTCACAGTCTTAATCAAGAAACAGAGCTCCAGTGGTCATATCCTTGGTCATGAAACCCTGCCAGGATCCTTTATCTTACACCCATTCAATTTGTGTGAGATCGCTAAAACCAGTTTTCTTTACATGTAACCTCAGTTTTGTGGAGTTAGCTGAAACAGAAATTGAAGCTATTCCAGTGTTTCAGCATACACTGAAGTTGTTGTCTTCAGCCTTAATAATGTAGAAGAGGGTAGTGTGGGGACATGTAGATCTCATGGTGGGAGTAAGGATGTGGGTGTCGACATACCAGTTTCTGATGAAATTGGATAACTGTAGCTGACACTTTGCGTGAAGACCAATGTGCTTCTCTGTGCGCATCTCAAGTGCAACTTGCTGAATATTGACTGGAGTGAAAAGATTTTTGAGCAAAAGTTATGGAGAAAAATTGAACACACGTTTCATTGTTAATGCACATTCTCTATTAGTCTTACAATTTTAAAGTAATTAGACAAAGCAGAACAAACGCAGCAGCACTATTACATCATGTTGACATTTTTTAGCTAATTATAATGTTTTTATTGAATTAGTGCCATGTGTCACATGATTTGTAAAATACTATCCTGGATATGAGATTTGAGGTTCCTGTGTTTGAGAGCACTGAAATTACAGTCTTCTAGAATGTGACACCATGTAGTTTTGCAGAGGAAACTGCTTTCTCCACTGCTAGGGTATCACATCCCAGAAGACCATTCATTAACTACCAGGTATATTGATGTAAACATTGTCTGTAAAGGATCTTTGAAGGTATGTCATACATTGAAGAGGCAAACTGTGTGGAAGAATGTTTCTTCATGTTCACTGAAATCTGTGATATGATGACTCTGGTTCCCACCATTTTTTTGAAATTAGAATCTATAATGACTTTATAATAATGACATAATGATCTATATCAGTGCCTGAAGACTTATGTTTTCTGGGATATAAGGCCATATAGTCCAGTGAAAGTCCACTGGTGTTTCAGAGGAACATGGTGCCTCTGTCTTCAGGATCATACAATAAGCCAAGCAAGATCCTAAAGACGGAGTTAATATCCCCCTGAAACGTTGGTTGACTTTCAGTGGACTGCATGTCATTATATCCCAGAATATAGAACTGTTTGTAATCACTGCTGTGAGAACATCAAGTCCAGTATCACTGCCTGATGGTGATGCATTCTGAAAGCTGTTTTAGACGCATGTGGTCCATCTTACATTTCAGCGCTTGTAAATGGGAGCTCTTCAGTGAGCCTGGAGTCTGAGTCTTCCACTGTGTCAGGTGATGGACATTCAACAGTGTCACAAGAGACTGCCATAATCAGGGAACCTAAAGAGGAGCCAGCAAAAGAAGGAAGCAGCAAAAGGCATTCTAGGTTTGTAATTAATATTTTATAGCGCACTGGTTGCTATAAGGACCACACGATTTAATATTCAGAAACTCTGCACTCTACTCGCAGAGTGTACTTAGTACAAATGTTATGTTTCTGGACATTATCCATCTTCCTGTTTTCATCTAAAAACACTGTCCTGTTTAAATTCCAAAACAAAATGTTTTGGAGAGCCCTATCGATTGGGCCCAACCAAGTAGTTTTTTCCCTAAAGATGGAGACAGAATCCAGTCTCTGAAACGTTGTGTTTTGATTCAGTACATCCTAGAAGCATCTTCATGAATATTTGAGAGCACACAAAAATTCTCTGCAATACAAAAAGTATTACTTTCATCAGTTTGATATGTGCAAAATTTTGGATGCAGGAAATGCAGGAGATTATTGGAAAATCATCTTAGATGGTTCATGTGGTGCTGTCTTGTACCTGTCCAAAAACAATTTGCCATTTTGAGGCAAGAATGAAGAAAATGTGTACCTGAAAAAGAGGCAACATTTGAGTGCTTCTAGAGCTTCTAAGCAAATATATCACAATGCACAAGCATGTACAATATATTATTTCAGAAGAGATTGGTGTATCTTATTGCAACATCATGGTCCAAAACAAAATTATTTCTGTAATGGTATCTCGTATTTGTGATAGTGTTGTAGAATGAGCCAGAAAAGCAAAATGTTTTAGTGCTATTCTTGATTGTACACGAGACTTGAGCTGTAGAGAGCAAATGTCATTCACATTACAATTTCTGGATGTATGTGAATCTGATCTAATTGTTCAAGAGGATTTTATCACATTTCAGGAAACAACAGGACATTTGTTATTTATATGATTAATAAATTGTTTGTGAATTCAGAATTAGATTTCAAGAACTGCAGGGGCCAGTGGTATTGTAATGACTGGAACATGAGAGGTAAAAAGAAACACGTTCAAATGTGTGTATGTTATGAAAACTTACAAGCATATTTTATGCCTTGTGGTTGCTGTTCTCTAAGCTGTGTCATTGGAGATGCTTCAGTTTCCTACACAGAAGCTATTTAATTTTTTGGTATTATACAATGCACATACATTTTATTTTGTGCATCTGTAGGAGGTGAGAATGCTTCAAAAAAGATTATATTCACATTTACTGTCAGACCACTTTGCAACACACAGAAATGCCAGCTTCGTTGTTCAAAACCAGTGAGAAATCAATTTGCAGAAATTCATGATGCTGTAGTTACTGTAACTTAATCCTTGTCTGATCGTGCAGTGAAGCATGAAGCTTCAGCGCTGTCCCATCAGATCTGTGATTTTGCATTTATAGTCATATGACCCTCCCCCACACTAATCACCCCAAATAGGATGTGATTCACTCTGAGGAGATCCAGAATTAATGATGAGGAATCACACAGTAATTTAATGATGAAAACAAAACATGTCTCAGTAAACGTGGAGGTAATTGTGACACAGATGATGTTGACATTGGGTTCCCTCCACTTGGAGACACAGGCAGACATGATGCTTGATTCTGCCGCACAACATCTGGAATCACAGACTGATGGAAGTACAGTCAACTCTCGATTATCCGGGCTAATGGTGGGGATGGAAGTCACGGTTAATCGAAAACCCGGTTAAGCCAAATTTTATTATACGGGCTGGACGACTGTGAAGGGTCGGAGTTCGAGTCCCGGTAGGGTCAAGAATTTTAACTTCTCCAAATCGTCCAGACCGGCTCTGGGGTCCATCCAACCTCCTATCCAATGGGTACCGGGGGCTCTTTCCCCGGGGGTAAAGCGGCCGGGGCGTGAAGCTGACCACTCACCTCCAACTAGTGCCGAGGTCAAGAAAATTTGG